TACACCTTACGTAAAAACGAACCCTAACGTAAACTTAGTTTACTTCTACCAACGGTAAATACGACTAGAATAGTGTGCCCCCCCCCCCCACCCCCACACACACATACCTCCCATCTCCTTCTTATCCAATAGAGAGAATGTTTCGATCTTACAAGTAATTTGCTAAATATAGTGAAAACCACCACCAGGAAAATTGACAAGAGAATTTAATCCAGTGTTTGCGTGAACACAAGACTGCTCGGGGTTACGTATCTCACTCCGTACCGGAAACAATATTGTGGTTTTTAAGAACACGAATCACTAACACGAGGGTTAGCAACAAGACGGTTTATAACTATTCTCAATCAACGATATATATATATATATATATATTATTTTGTAGAGTTTTCTAGAGATTAGCCACAAACAGTTTTTTTTTTATTGCATTATGATACTACGTAGTGATCTTTCCTAGATATCTCATCGTTAAAATCCGAGACGGAGCTCAGATAACCCAATCTATAGCTTTGAAGCAACAACAACAACCCTATCATTGAATATATGTATACAGATTATTAATATTGACAACCGCACCTTTTCAATGTATCTCCTCCCCAAAACAAGAGGGAATCCTCAATAGCCGCGGCAATTCTATCAGTACATTAATCTGTGAGACATTGGGCGTGACAAAATACATCAAACGAAAGGGTTTGACCTCCTGAGTACAAAACTGTAATTAGATCTCAAATCGGTTAAGAGATGACGGAGCTATGAGCTAAACGTTTGTACTTGAAATAAACAAACTCGGAGCCGTTATGCCGCGGCTAAAAAACAATAACAACATATTCAACTATTAATCTTTTGAGCATACTTTTCTAGAGATTAGCCAAAAATTAAAACAGTGTTTTTATTGCATCATGATATGTAGTGACGTTTTGTAGATCCTTATTATTGAAGATAAAAAAATATACAAATTATTAATATTGACAATCTGTGATTCTCAAAGTATCTTACCCCTAAATAAACAACAACAACACACCATTAATACTCACAGTCTGGGATTCTCAAAGTATCTTACCCCTAAATAAACAACAACAACAACAACACACCATTAATACTCACAGTCTGGGATTCTCAAAGTATCTTACCCCTAAATAAACAACAACAACAACAACACACCATTAATACTCACAGTCTGGGATTCTCAAAGTATCTTACCCCTAAATAAACAACAACAACAACAACACACCATTAATTTAATACTCACAGTCTGGGATTCTCAAAGTACCTCACCCCTAAATAAACAACAACAACACACCATTAATACTCACAGTCTGGGATTCTGAAAGTATACCCCCCTCCAACCCTCCCCGCCCGCCGACCGACGTACGTACGTCGTCGTCGT